TAAATGGAAACCCCTGTATATTATATTTTTTTCTGTTAAAGCATCAAATTTTAAACAAAAAAGTTCATAATGACTTTTCCGCTAAAGTCAAAAATAAAGTCAAAATAACGATAAATATTTTTAATTATTTGCAGTATTATAATATTAAGACGGCTATGAAAACAACATGGCGTTCGCGATTTGACAGCATTAAGATAAGCGACAAATTGTTAAACTGGACATACTCGCAACTAGAAGGCTTTGGAAAACAATGATAAAATCAAATAATGTCAAACATTAGTGTAAATACTTGTTTATAAGCTTTATTGTGTCATTAATTTAAAGAAAAATGTTCTCCCATGAAGAAAAGTGTGATATGTTAGAATGCTATTTAGTGTGCAGAAAATCTTCCTTGAGAGCAAGAGAATACTACAGTGAATTATATCCCGCTCGCATTCAACCGTATGAACGATATTTTCTGAGACTCTATCGAAAATTTAGGGGCAACGAAAATGTTTTTGCTAAAACAAGGGCAAAAAAAGAATTCATAATAAGCGAGGCCACGGAAATTGCAGTTATTGAATATTTTGAAGCTTATCGTGAGAATTCAATAGCAGATATTCTCAAGGACTCTAATTTCAGTTATGGTACTGTTCAAAGGATTTTAAAAAAATACAAATTTATTCCGTATAAGTACCGACCAGTTCAAACGCTTTTGGCAGGGGATCCAGAGAGAAGACTTGTTTTTTGCCATTGGTATCTTAGCTTCTGTCGCCAAAATGTAAATAACTTTCGTTACCTTTTATGGACAGATGAATCAAATTTTTCAAATTCTGGAATGTTTAATAGAAAAAACCACCATTATTGGTAAAGAGAAAATCTTTTGTTAGTACATCCAAGAGGCCCACAAGTCCGTTTCAGTTTCAACGTTTGGTGCGGTATAATTGGGTCAAAAATTGTTGGCCAGTTCTTTTATGAGGGAACCCTAACTGGTGAAAGATATGTGGAATTTATGTCAGAAATTCTGACTAATTTCTTAGACGAATTAGATCTTATAAGTAGACATCATCTGCATTTTCAGCAAGATGGCGCACCTGCCCACAACTCCAGAGGTACTTATCATTTTCTAAGTACTACTTTTAATGATCAGTGGATAGGAACAAATGGCCTAATACAGTGGCCTCCCAGATCACCAGATCTAAACCCACTTGATTACTTCTTGTGGGGTTACTTAAAGAACCAAATTTACAAGCGAAGGTACGATAACCTTGACGCGTTAAAGACTGCAGTTAGGGAAAAGATAACCCAGATAGATGGTAGGACCATACTTAAGACAGTTCGAGCAGTTGAAAAACGTGCTCAAAAATGTATTGAAGAACAAGGTGGTGTTTTCGAGCATCTTCTTTAAAAAAAATTGTTATTGTATTTTGTAAGATTATAAGTTGATGTTGAAAATAAAGTTTGTCGATACAATTTAATTGTTTCAGATTGGAGGTCATAACTTCAACAATTTGTAACCTAGGAGAAAAGTTATTGTAAGCTTTTTTGTTTAAAATTTGATGCTTTAACAGAAAAAAATATAATATACAGGGGTTTCCATTTAAAAAAATGTTATTTTACTGAAAAAAATCAAAATAACGACTTTCAATTGTTTTTTTTTGTTTCTCATTTTTACCAGCGTTAAAAATGCTACTAGTTTGCTAATTCAAACAACTTTGTATTTTCACTAATAACAAAGTTACTAATGGTGGACACTTAATTTGGATAACCCTGTATAATCTAAATCTCGCCTCCTGTAAGAATATTACAAATAAAAGACGTTAATTATTATTATTATTATTATTATTATTATTTGTCCTATACAGGATAGCATAATTAGAATTTCAATATGACGTTTTGTCTCTTTTCCTCCAGCATCAAATTCATTTTTCCTCAAGGACGCCGTTGGATTTTTGAACAAGTGAATAAAGCTTTTGATTCTGATTCCAAACATGTAAAATAGGTTCAAAACATCGTCCGTTATTCTGTAGACAAAGCCTGACTGTACATTGTTCACAGCTCAGTTTACTTCTCTTCGACTCGGTCTTCCAAACTCTGTTACTATATTCAAGTTGAGTTCTTCTTAACAAACAACTTTATGGCCAACAAAGGAAATACGTCACTGAATTTAGAACTGGAAACTCCACTGGAATGTTCAACATTCCAATACAGTGTTTATTATATAAAAAAAGTTGGTGATGGAAATCGGAAGAGAGAGTAACAGTGGCAATAACAACATGCAATCTATACTAAGTGACATATAAATCCGAACACCCAGTTTAAATGGTTTTATTTTAATAAAAGTTGGTGAAAGTATTTATCTTACTGTAAATAACAAGTGAAAAAATTTTCAGCCTTATCAGTTGGACATTCCGGTTTTTATACTGCTTTTTTTAATTCACTAATGCTCTAAAAATGAATATTTCAGCCGCAGTAAAGAATCAACGTTGGCGGATTTTGGTTCTTGACATCCTTTACGACGGAGACCTGTACGATTTCGTCAACTTAGTGAGTTTGATAGGGGCCGTATAGTGGGACTTCGGGAAGCTGGACTTTCTTTTCGGGCAATTGCAGTTAGAGTGCAAAGAAGTGTAGACACTGTGGTTAGGTGTTGTCAGGCATGGCTTCGAGAAAGCCGTACGCAAAGAGCAAGGGACACTGGACGCCGCCGTAGAACAACAGACCGTGAAGATCGTCGCCTAAGATTATTGGCCTTAAGGGACCGTTTCTCCACTACCAGGTCCATTGCAAATGAATGGTTTGCAGAACACGGAAGACCTATTGGCATGCGAAGTGTTTACCGACGAATGAGAAGTTTTGGCTTGTTTTCACACCGGCCACACTGGGTCCTCCCTTTAACTCGAGAACACCTACGTAATCGCCTTGAGTGGTGCAGACAACGGTCACTCTGGGATCAGGAATGGAACAGTATTGTCTTTAGTGACGAGTCTCGATTTTGTTTAGGCATGCACGATGATCGTGCCAGGGCTAGAAGGCGACGTGGTGAAAGGAGGAATCCACAGTTTTTTGTGGAAAGACATGTTCATCACACTGTTGGAGTTATGGTTTTTTTATAGCTTATGGTTCCAGGTCACCTTTAATCTTCATCAGAGGTAACATGAACGCGCAGCGTTATATCCACGAAGTTCTAGAACCCCATCTTTTACCCTATCTTGACACCCTGGCAGATCCAACTTTCCAACAAGATAATGCCCGACCACATGTTGCAAGAGTCACAATAGACTTCTTTCAACATAATGATGTCACATTGTTACCATGGCCACCAAGATCTCCCGACTTATCCCCAATTGAGCACGTGTGGGATATGATGGGTAGGAGATTGCTCAATTTGCAACGTCCTCCTCAGACTCTAGAAGCACTTCGAGAGGAGTTGGTGGTTGCCTGGAATGAGATACCACAGGAGGACATTGACCACCTGATCAGAAGCATGCCTAGGCGCGTTGGAGAATGCGTAGCACATCAGGGTGCATCCACACATTATTAAAGGTCAAAGGGCTTTAAAGCAGTGCAATCATTTTGAAATTTTTATCATTTACTTATTATGCTTCATTAAGTACTTATACAAAATGTTATTAAAATAAAACCATTTAAACTGGGTGTTCGGATTTATACGTCACTTAGTATATTTTGAAATACCAGCAAACATAAAGTCATTAAAAATCAAAATGATTTGGCATCTGATTTAAGAAACAAAGAACTATCTCATAATTGCAAGGCTTCTTAGGAAATTCTGTATTTTGAAATTACTAATGTTTCGCAATGTCAATGTATGCCATTTTTGGGATCAAAATTAAAACCTTCATTTACCGGTGCAAATATCCAACATGGAATTCTTAAAAAAAAAAGTTGATGCTGGAGAACAAATGTTGAAATTCTAATTATGCTATCTTGTTGAGGAGAAAAAGTGGCAATGTTAATGTGCCATTATTTTGAAATCCCACTACAAATAAAATCAGACGATTTTGGGAAATATTGTTTTTTTTCTTATCACTCCGGAAGTACTTTGAATTCTGTAACGTTCTAAGAGGCATTTTATTAGTTACCTAAATACGCAGCTTTGTCCTCCAATTAAGCGACTTCGTATCTCTTACTGTTTTCGAGATCCCAATGGTGAGGGTCGAATTTGAAATCCCCAGCATAGTTGCTAAAGATCTAATTGGTCTGTACGATTGCCCAATTTAAAATGTTCAAAATTCACCACTAAAATTAGACCAATTTACGTCTCCGATCGTGCCAATGATTGGCCGACATGCATCTGTCTATTTGAAAAAATCTAATCACTACTGCTGCATATCCCGCTTTGGGATTGAATGTCCGCTAGTTAATCAAATCCCATTGGTCCGCGACATCTACTATTTAGATTTTAAATGAAAAAATGTCGACTGCCTGGTGGCGATGGTGGATGACAAAAAGCGGTAGCAGCGGCGTCCACCTTTGTGTAAACGTGGTCAACCCAGATGTGATGCTAGAACGGTCCGGTGCACACGCCGCTATTCTGCTGTTTCAGAGGCCACTCGATGGACTGTTAACAATTATGCTTTTTAAGTATTTTTAATTAAATGAAGTACGGACGGATTCACTGCAAACACAATTTACATTGTATCTATCGGGAGATGGGTTTGTTGCCGCCCTGTGAAAATGATAGCAAAAAATTGAAAGGCAGGATAGCAGATTGTCCGGCTAGCAGACATCTTACACATGAGTTGGTTCTGTGCCTATGATAGCCCAGAAAACTATTGAAAATGTTCCACAAGCTTAATCCGACAGAGGTACAGGGTGCTAAGCATGTGACACAACTTCAGAATTCTTTGGATTATTGTAGATCTTCGATTTATATATCAAAGATTATTACAAAATGGTTCAAAACAGCTATCTCCACCAAAAATGGAATGCAAAATTATTTTTAATAGTAAAAACAACCACCTTCATCGAGAATGCAAGAATTCAATTTTCCATTGCAGATTACCGAATTCTTTCAAGTTCTTCAGTCATCTCTTACTAACTTACGTTCAGGGTTTGTGCAACAGAAAAATATGGAGACATTCGATAGCACCTCACTGGAATCTTAAGAAACGGATACATGCTAGGTGTAACGCAAAAAATGACACTGCTGATCATATTTGACAGAGGTGCGGTATACGAGGAGAAGATTAGACTGACACCCTACCTGGAGATAGATAGATTAATGTTTGATAGATGCTCAGTTTACCTGGGTGTACCGCAGAGATCAGTGCTGGGACCGTTGTTATTTATACCTTTCATAAGCGACCTTCCAAATTTTATTTTGAAGAGTAGAGTCACAATGTTTGCCCATGATACTAGAATCCCAGTTTCTGGCAGTTCTGTTGAAAAACTTTATAATATCTTAATAGTTTTTGAAGACATGCAGGTGGCGTGAAAGGAATAAGTTGAAATTAAATGAAAATAAAACGACTGCAACCAACTTTCACATTAAAAAAGTTATTCATTCAATCAACACACGCTTTAAGTAATCAAGATACATTGCAGATGGTAAACAGTGTTAAGCTACTTGATAGTTGGTTTGATGCAGATATGATTTTTGCATCTCAGATAAACAATACTTGCTGCAATTTAAACAACAATTTTTCTTATTCCATATGAAACAATATTTAGATCAAACATTTCTATTATCTCTTTCTTATCTATCTGCATTTGTACAGGGTGGCATATATATAACTGACTGATTTAAATTGCTCACCATTTTTGATACACGGATGTCAGTAGGTGGCGGCGTAGTAGTTATTTACAGCACATGTGTCCAATTCATCATGTATTATTAAAAATGTTTTACTTTAATAATAAGTCGATTGTTGTAACGACTACGACAAGGTTTCGGTCGAAATGTCAACACCATTCGTCAGTTGGTTCCGAAATTTGAACAAACAGGTGAAGTTAAAGACTTCTCAAGGTCGGGCAGTGTTCAACCTTCAACCGACGGTTAAGGGTCACGCGTATAGAGGTAACGAACCCGTATAATCGATTGCGTTTCAAAAAAAAATAATAATAATGGCACACTCATACACCAATAATGAACTCGTTGATATGTTGTTAATTTATGGCGAATGTCTTCAAAATGATACAGAATCGTCGCGAGTGTATGCAGATCATTTCCCTAGACGACATCATCCAAGGCCCCGCAGATTTGTGTACCTGGTCCAGAGAGTCAGGGATACGGGCCATTTGGAGGAATTTCGAGGTGGGCACAGTGGGAGGCCTAGACAACCACTTGTTATTTCAAGGGTAGTTGTTTCTGAAAAGGAAAACCCCAACTTTGCGGACACCCTGTATATATATACATATATACAGGGTGACTTTGAAGTTGAGTCATTAATTTTCAGATAATGATTGTAGAAGGAAGATAAACCAAAATATGTGTGTAAAAATAAAAAAAAAATTTTACCTTGTTTTATAAAGTATCCTCCCGACAAGTATTTCAGTGCGGACCTGTATTTGATCGTGAGGTCCCCTGTGAGGTCTTAAGTCACCTGATTCACGAGCCCGTTGTACTACATTAACAAAGGCACGAGGGGTTGGTTGCACTCGATTGGGAAACCGATCCGCATAAACATGTGCCATTTTTTATTTCGTTTGAGCCACGCAACAGACAACACTATTCACACGCGTTATCGACTGACAGTGAGTGTATGTATACAACTGAATGAAATAATTGTAAAAACATCGTTCCAAATTCTTTCGCTTTTTTGTTTCCGATGCGAATTATATCCGTTGTTGCCAAACACGAGCACATGATATTATTATTGAGACAGGGCGGTACTCAAACTTCCAAAACTTTGTTACTTTAATTTTACCAGAAAAATGGTAAAGGAAAAAAACATTTCTTTTGATCAGATCTACTCACTGTTAAAATAAATGACTCAACTTCGAAGTCACCCTGTATATATATAAAATTTTATGGACTGACGAGTCACGTTTTGAAAGAACAGGGATATTCAATATCCATAATTTACATACTTGGGCTGTTGAAAACCCCCACCAGTCAAGGCCGTCGACATTTCAACACCGTTTTAGTGTGAACATGTGGTCAGGAATATTCAATATGGAATTTATCGGTCCATTTGAACTGCCGTCAAGGTTGGATTCGGTAGCCTACAAAAGCTTCCTTGAAAATAGCCTACCATTATTGCTGGAAGATTCAAGCCTGGAAGCCAGACGGAACATGGTGTTCCAGAATGATGGTGCACCATGCCACAACGCAACGATCGTGCGAAACTACTTAAACGAAAGGTTCCGAGACAGATGGATCGGACGAAACGGACCGATACGATGGCCTCCACGCTCCCCTGACCTCAACCCCATTGATTTTTTTGTTTGGGGATATTTTAAAGACATAACATTCGCCCAAGAATGTGCAAATGAAAATTCATTGAGGAACAAAATTCAAGAAGCGACACATGTGTTGAAAAACAACACACAAGCATTTAGAGATTTAAAACAAAATTTCATACGTAGGTGTACACTGTGCATTTCTGTTAGAGGCAGACATTTTGAAAACCTCTTGTAAATAACATAAATGAATAATAATCCGCTGTTCAGTAAAAATCAAACGTGTTTTTGTGGTTTTTGCAAATTTTTTTTCCGAAACTAACAATTTCTATTGAGCAGAGGGTTATCCAATTTTGGGTTCGGTTCTATTTGAGCCACAATTACGGTAGCATGTAGTAAAGCTAGGTTGAGGAAATTTTTACGGTAAATAGCTGATACCATAAGGAAGTTTTTAAGATACTTACGAATAGTAAGAACATGTTTTTTCAATTTTTTATAAGCGTTCAAAGTTGTTGCACTTTTTTACTTTTTTGTTATGTTCGAAGATTTTGAAAAAAATTAAAAAGTAGTATTAGTTACTTGACTTGAATGATTATATGATAGTTAAGCCTTAGGTCTTAGCTACATAATCGTGAAAAAAGCAGGCATTTATCACAATTATTAACGAAGTTATGGTAAAAATAAACACAGAACTCAAAAATTCTCGAAAAATCCGAAAAAAAATCATAACTCCTAAACTAAACAAAATCGGACCATATATATGGGGGTGATTGGGGTTCCTCTCGATGTGGGGAATCTAATTTTTTTTTATGACGTCACGTGTTTGGCCACCCTGTATATATTCTGTGCTGTTGTAAAGCGACTGGCATGAACAGTCTTCGAGTTCCAAGAATCAGCAACTTTAAATCGTTTCGGGACTCTAACTTACACTCTAGGTCACCGCACTATAATTTTGCAGCAATATATAATGCTCTACCTAGAGATTTGAGGAATATTAATAGCTGCTGTAGCTTTGAAAGAATTTTGAAATTGCGGACGTTGATACCCTTAAAAATGGTCCTTTTTGAATATTATTTTTACATAGTCTTTAATGGCAATAATCATTTTGATGTGTTATATACATACAATTTCAAATATAAATTTATTGTTGCATGTTTAATGAGTGTATCTTCGGATGATCCATTTTTTGTGACTTGCCATTTTAACCAGGTGTTCGTATTTTGGCTGAATAAAATACAACTACCACTACTACTACTCTCTCTCTCTCTAGGGGAACCAAGACCTCGTCGTTGGGCAGATCACCCCCAGGTTCACGGTGAGGCTCCGTGAGTTCCATAAAATCGGTGAGCAGTGCCAATAGCACAAGCTCCAAGAAAAGGAGGGGGCAGGCGAACCAGAAGACGAATGGGGAGAAGTCAAACGCATGCTAGATAAGCTGCAAGAGGTAGCTAAAGCAGCTCAAGCAACTGTGAAAGCTATTCCTAACACCAAGAAATTAAAACAGCAATTTGTGATATGGGGTGCCAAATCATGGCTTTAAAGAGAAAGGAAAGAATGTAACCGTTACCTCAGGCAAAATCAGTTAGGTTGGAGGGAAAACAAGGCATATGTGTTAGTACCCAGTTGGAACAAATGCAACAGAGAGTGTAGAAGTTTAAACATCAAACTTCGATGAGAGAAGACGTGAAGAAATAAAGAAGGAGCTGAGGACAACGAAACAGATCCACAATACAGTTGATAAAGGAAAAGTATTTGGAGATATCTCACAAGTCCTAGATATAGACTGGCCTGAAGCTGGCTACAGGACAGTGAAAGAGATGGAAGGTTACCCGTTCAGGAGTTATGAGAAAAGAAACGAAACCCTTTTCCCAAAACAAAACTACGGTAAGGGTATAGTTCAGGATGCCACTGGGCGATTCCCGGAAATTAAATACATTTTGACTGATGGGTGCAGAGAAGGACACATCGAATACGTCACTATGAAACTCGAACAAGTCGTGAGAAGAATGATGGCTTACGTAGGATCATGTATATATTACCCTTAACCATTGATAAAAATGGGTAAATGACATGCAGGGCTTCTGATGAATATAGAGGGCAAAGGCATGGCAGAAACTTTAAGGAAAGCTATCAATGAAGAGTTGACAGTGCTCGTTAGTCGAAAAGGTGAAACAGTCCTTCACGTCACGGACTTCGACGGGGTAGCTACTAAAGAGGAGGTCGCTGCTGCATTGAGACGGGCTGTCGGTCATAACACCGGAAATCAGGGTACTGTAAGTGATCCACGACCCACAAAAAATGGAAACCAATCTGTTACAGTAACGGCATCAAAGGAAATTGCAGAAGCTCTTATTAGCATGGGCAAAATTAGAATTGACCTCGTAGCCTGTATGATTAGGGAAAGGATACATATTCAAAAGTGTCTCCGTTGCTTGGACATCGGCTACGTTACTCGGAATTGTAGCGGTACAGACTTATCCGATCACTATCTGAACTGCTGTCAGAAACGACATAAGGCGCGAGAGTGCAATAGCCAGCTTCACTGTTAGAAATGCAACAAGGAAGGTCACAGGGTGGACTCGATTAAGTGTCCCCGTTTCAGAAAACTGGTCGCGAATGGATGCAAAGATACAGCTACCCGGGAACCAACAAAATCTCGACGGTCCAGTGCAAGAGAAACGAGTTCTAAGAAGCAAGTGAATCAACCAACAACATTATGATCACCATTCTTCAAGGTAATCTGGGGAGGTTCAAGCTAGCCCAA